CCTCAGGGAAAAGCAGACTCGACTGCTCGCTGACTCCTTGACATGCTTGCTTGGTTTTGGCGATTTTTTTTGGACTCCCGGAAAGGGCAACATTGTCTTTTGGCGTGCCTCTCACCAATAAAAAGTGTTAGACATCAGCTGCAGGAGATTCTTGTTCGGAAGTTTGGCAAACGCAATCACGCAACACCCGGTTTTGCCATGAAAACTGCGGCTTCCCCCCAAACAAAAACCCGAACCCGCCCGAGTCCATCTTTTTCTGAAGGCGCCCTTGGGTTTGACAGGAAACTGAAAAGGAAACACAGGATTTTGAGAGACCCCCGCATGGAACATTGAAAAGCATTATGGTTATGATCGACATATTTACTCCCTCGGCGAGGCCCCCCGGGTGCTGGAGAGCTTTTGGAGCTTTTTGCAGCCCTTAGAGGCGGGAAACGTCAATTTCGCGCTCCGCTTCGCTTGGATGTATAGGGGAAATGAAATGGCTCTGGGTCAAAAGTCAGTACCCCAAATGGAACCCAGGTAAGTGGAAACACGGACCAAAACCTGCGGTCCCCTGGTGGTTCAATTTTGGCCCATACCCATATGTGTACGTGTCAAATTGGGGTGCAATAATTGTAGGTTTCCTTTTGTTTCCCCCAACAAATCACCACACACACACACTCAAATGGCAACGGGCTCCTTTGTGGTTGTTCCCTTGGAAATCCGACGGGTTTAAGTACAGGGTCTGAGACATGGTCTAGAGCATGCAGATTGAAATGGAAACAACTCTGTTAGCGCTTTCCTGTAGGGCGGGCTTTCCCAGAGCCCGCACAGAATGAATCATGCAATGTACGTGGAGGTGCAGTGCTCTAGAAAGACGTTGATTGTCGAGTTGGAGAAAAATGTGAAGAAAGGTTGGGAAAGGTTGGGAACATGTTGAAGCAAAGTTGGGAAAAGGTTGGGAAAGGTTGGGACAAAGGTTGGGAAAAGGTTGGGAGAAAAGTCGGGGAACAAGTTGGGAAAAGGTTGAAACAAGTTGGGAAAAGGTGGGGACAAGTTGGCCAGCCGTTGAGAACAGGGAACAACTTGGGACAACTTGGGAAACGCGCGGAGAAGAGTTGGGAAACGGTTGTGAACAAGTTGGCATGATGATCAGCATGCTGCATTTTTTTTCTGATATGAGTGGAATAGCTGCTGTGAGGGCCCTGCAGGGCTGGCACTGTGCGTTTTGTTTTGGGGGGGCCAGATCTTTATAGGGATTTTCCAGGGTTATTAATTATTCTGTAGCTTTTCGAGGGGATTGCCTAGCTTCTTGTGGTTTTCTCTGGTTTGTTGTGCCCAAAAACAGTTTCCAAAGAGACCTTTCTTGAAACGGTATGACTGATTCGCCTTTGATATTGTAAAGAGAAGTGTTTGGAAGGGTTATCGCCCCCCCCCCCCCTCCCCCCTCGCAACCCCACGTATCAGACGTCGGGCGGGCGGGGGGGGTTATCCTCTATCCTCCCTTAAGTATCCGACACAGATATGAACCCAACCATGAAGCCCTGATGGTGGCAACTGAGCCCTCAGGGTTTCTGCTTGGCGTTTGCGTGTCCGCGAGTTTGCTTGGGCCGCTCTTCAGGTGTGCCGCGGTAAGAACCTGCCGGACCTGGCTTCGGGCGGGCCCGAGATGGAGGCGCGCGTTCGGCGTTTCTGGGACAAAAGGCGATGGGGGTGTCTCAAGGGGGCTACCCACCAATTAACATGGAACCTGACGTTTGGGGGACCATTTTCCTTTTAAAGGGACCCCCTGCCAGGTTCCATGGAGAGAGAGAGAGAGAGAGAGTATTTATGGGAGGGTACCCCCCAAAATTGCCAGTGTTCTTTTCGGTCTCCCCTGAAAAAAAGCCACACCCGTATATGTCACAAGGTATAGGAAACTCCTCTCGATGGTTGGTGCGACACAAACAATTTCCGTGACAATTGTCTCAATGAATTTCCAGAGGGGCGTGCAACCTATTGAGTCAAAGTTACAGTGCTCTGAATGATTCATTGCGCAGAATCAAAAGTTCTAACCTAGCACAGGTTTGTGAGACCCGTCTAGAACAGGTTTACTGGTTTGTTCCCCTAGCCCAAACTTTCTCGGCATTTTGGCCGTTATCAACCACAGCCACAGCCGCTTCGGGTAGATGAAGGTTCGTAGGGGGATAGTCCCAACCACAATTAGGCGCGGGCATTTAAGCTTTTGATAGTTCGACATGGTTGTGGGTAGACCCTCTTTACTTAATCTTGCTGCTCAGAATAACCTCCCGGGTGTTGGGAATGAGCCGGTTTTGGGGATTCCTTTAGAGGAAACCCTGTTTTTCTCGGGGTCATGAGCCAGTTCTCATTCCCTGCATCTCTCGCACCGATCGCAAGTATTGTCGGATTTTTGCAGGCCACTGGACAGACCCACAACTTGAGACGAAGAAAGTGAAGACCCACCCACAAGAACCACACCTTCGCTATTCCCAAAACCCCACTAAAAAAAATGGCCCAAGACCCAATAATGGTGGTAATACTAACCCAATTGGTTTTATTGGTGAATTGAACCCCCGGGCCTTCATGTTCGGAAGAGTATATCTCAGGAGCTTGCGGCTCGCACCTTCAATCTCAGAGACCAAGCTGCCCGTTCTTGTTTTGAGCATGTCAACCAGCGCATCTTGCGGTTGCACCGCCTTTCAAAAGGCTTTGACCTCCACTCAAATGAGCCGTGTTAGAACCCCGCCCTCAGCCCGGTATGGCGTACTGGGATGGTACCCAAACCTAATGTGGAGCGCAACAAAATCAATCTCTTGCTTGGTATCTTGTTGGTATATATGTTGTTTTCCCAGAATTTAGCTCTACTGCTATTGGGTTGGATCTTTAGACTTTAACTTTTTGGATTCCCCTCATATTTCCTCGGAACCTTCACGTCATCGAATTTGGGTAGCCATTATTCTTGCCCAGCCTGTCCTGGAAGTAGCATCGGCCTCTTTTTTTGGTTTTTGCTATGTTGCAGAGCTATTTCTAAATTACACAACACTTTCCACATTGTTCCTGAGTTGTGGGGTAACTCTGGGCTGCCTGTCCTCAAAAATGTCCGCTTCAAGCCACAAAAACCATGGTTGTAAGTCTCCGTGCAATTGGTTATAACCAGGCTAACAATCCTATGCCCTTTTTGACTGAAATAGACTACAGCACTAAAATTGGGTACCAACTTATTCTAACCGCTCAAATCTGGAGGACCTAGTAGTTGTTCAAAACGGACCTTGTTAACTACTGGTTGAATGCTTATTTGTGATGTCAACTTAGTGCATTGGTTATAACCAGGCTAACAATTCACAAAGCACAGTGAAACTCACTAAGAACCATTCAATTGGTTATAACTTAGTTATTTGTTGAACTCAGTTATCCCCAGGTCAACAATCACCTTCCGTGATAGAACCAGCGCAGTCCGTCCAGGTGGCGGAGGATGGCGTGGTGACCTACGAGTGGAAGTTCGTGGTGGACCGGGACAGGCGACCGTGGACTCCGCCAGCAGGATGCTCCAGTGCTCGCAGTTGGGTCTGTCTTCTTTTGTTGAACCCGTTTTATGCGAAACAGGAAAATCGTGTTTTTGTTTGGGGTCCCCTAGATGAAATGATGGCCATGCTGAAGTCTAAAAAGAAAACGGGGGAATGCATCTGGAGCAGTTCATTCATCTGGTCAACTGGTGTCTTCCTCAACCGGTACTCCTGAGCTCAGTGAAGCGTCGAAGGGTTCCCGGTAGGAGCCACCCATTAGACACCTATACTTCTGTTGGAACCCCCCGATCAGTGTTGTTTTTTGATTTGTTGCTCGCGTGGACATTACACAACGGGTGCGCTTTTTAGAAAGCAGGGCTTGGAAATGGAAAGGACGCCGTCAGGAATCGGGCCGCAAGGCGTTTCTAGGATCGATTCTTGGCGTTTTCTTGGTTCTTGCACGGGGGAATTCGTTCTGAACCCCTTTTTGATGTTTGTTTTGGAAGGGAAGCCAGGAGGAAAAGTTTCGGGGCCGAGTTTTGGACACCGGAAGCAACCGAAAAGGGGCCGAAGGCCGTTTGACGTACCCCACCCACCTGCACGCGCACCCTTACAGCAACAGGTTCGACTCACACCAGGAATCGGAACCACCAAACTTACATAACGAGTTTCCTGTTGATGTTCCTTTCAACCAACTCAAGCAAGGAACCAACATGAGCCATTTGCTTGAACTTGAAGGGTTGTCCAAAAAGATGATTCCTGGACTCTGGTCCCAGCGACCAAAGGGTGCTGATCTGTTAGCCATTGGCTCGAGATCCTGTGGGCAGAGCTCCTGACCTTGTAGTTTTTGTCCGCAAAAGGTTCACTGTTTATTTCTGGGTCCTTCAGGCCACGGAGTAAATACACCCAACTTGTTGCAAGAGTAAACCAGCAGGGATGGGTGACCCTGTACAACCCTGTTCAACACCCAGACAGGGCAACCAGTGAATGGAAGTGGCAAATTCATCAGCTTCACTGATACCCCATCTTTGCAGAAACAGCATGTGGCTGTGTTTTTTTTGCGGCCCCCAAAATGGAGGTGTTCCTCTCGGTTTCCCTTTAAACCAACCAAAAGGGGCATGTAAACATGAACAGGGTACGAACGAGGGCCATGCAAGTGCAATCGCGCGTATTCTTTAAGTCCGTCAAACTTTTGTGCACGAATTGCCCGGGACTACTTAAAGGGGCGATCGCCCACTGAATCAGTCATGTGTGTGGGAGCCCGCCATGAACACACGCGGAAAAGAAATCGAAGATTCTTGCAGGTTGCAGCTGCGCTTCCCGGGCAAACACGCACCCTCCCACCAATTATCATGGAACCTGACAGGGGGGTCCTGGAAGACCATTTTCCTTTCAAAGGGGTTAATTGGCGGGAGGGTACCAAAATCTTTTATTTTAAGACTGCATGCTGTCTTTCCCTTGTTGGTTTTAAAGCAAATCTATCGCTGCCAGCAAACTTAGGCAAGTGGAAACAGACATGTTCCGTACTTGGCTCAGTTCTCTGAGCCCAGCGGCAACAGAAGACCTTCCGGGCGCATGCCTTAGCGAGCGCTCGGCGTGTCGCCATGTTGTCAGCGGTGGCCCTGCTGCGGAGATCGCGCAGAGCGTGTGCCCAGCCACGTCCTGAGAATGGGATTCCTCCATTTGCTGAAATGAAGATGTTGTTTTTTGTTCCCCTCTTGGTTCTAAAGGGAATCTATCACTACTGGAAATAGTTTTTTTTTGTTTTTTTTTCCAGGGGGCTTAAACAAATGGAATATTTTATTTGGGTTTGTCCCAACATAGGGACCCCCAAAACAGGTTGGTTTTGTAACCCGTTTGGGACAATGGCCTTAGCCAAGGAGGGACACAACACAGCCCTTAGGCATGCAAGCCAAGACACCGGACATGAACCAACCAACAGATCCTGCCGCAGAAGCAGTCAACACACTCTTCAGAATGAAGCGCGTTACACCTGTTTGATTTGGGGGGGGTGTTTGCGAAGGGGTTAGCCAAGTTAGCCTCGAGGAGGTTTTGGCTAGACTTTAGAAGATTCCTTGAAGTTTCCAGCAGGTTCCTTTGCAAAACAGAGGCACTGATCGAAAATGATCGGCAAAGGAATCAAACCAGCTTTGTTTGTGACTGATTGCTTCTTTGTGTTTATAGCACGTTTTAGAGTGTCTTAGGTGTGTGTTAGATTGTTTTAAACTTTTCTAGATTCGCAATGGTTTCTAGACATGTTTCTTAGAGGCTAAGAGTTGGAATGCCTTTGGTGACTATCGCCCACATTTAGTCGCTCTGGAAGGGTTATTCTACATCTTGAAAAGTGTTCTTTGCATTCAGATGATGCCAAGGAAGGGAGGCACAGGAGTGAAACCGCTGCCATCAAGGGCCAGGTTCTAGATAGAATTGAGAGGTCCGGTATACCAAATTGAAGGTTCTAACTTGTCTTTTCGCACTTCGAAATGCCTAAAAAGCGTGTTTTGAAGGGGTCCCCAGTGGAGAAAGTTTTTGAAGGGACAGCAAATGAGAAGCCAAGGGCCTATCTCCCAGCGCTGCCGGACCGGGCAGCAATCAACAGAGCAGCTGCCAGTTTCTGTGCTTGTTTAAACGTTCGATTATGGCTTTGGTTGGCAACAGGGTTGGGGGGGCAGGGTTGGGGGGGCAAGGGGGGGGGGCGGGCCGGCAAAATTTTGGTCGGGAGGGGGGGCTTCTTGCCACTTCTGTGTCCAACCCCAAAGAGGGTGCCCTCAAAGAACACCGTGGAGCGCTGCAACAAGCATTGGCCTTGTCGCTTTTCTCAGGGCGTGAATTTCAACAGGGGGGCCGAAATGGTGGACATCATTCTCGCTTCCTGAGTGGGTTGACCAGACAAAGTCCAGGAAATTGTTGTTTGCCACCAAAATGGTCATACCAAATAGCGACCAAAGTCCAGGAGCTCAGGAAGTATGGTTTTGTGGTTTTAAAGGAATACCAAGAGGAGAACCACTTGATTTTGAAGGGTTCCCTAAAACAAGACACGCCCTTTGGGACGGGAGCCTCTTCCTGAACTGTTTATCTAGGATTTTCCGCTGAACAAAACATGCCAGAAAGCTCTGCGGGCACTTGTCTGCCTGCTTATGTCTCTAGCTTTGTCCCTGCCTGCCACCAAGTTTAGAGCCTCCGAAGGACGCCACGTGGGCCGTTAAGCTCTTTAGCCTTTGAAACCAAAGGAAAACTCAGGGAAACCAAGGGAAAAACAAGAAACCACCAATGGAAAACAATTGTCCTATGACTCACCGGTGCACGACGAACATGTCCTTCCCATCGCACAATTGGCGGATTTGCGCCCGGCAATTCTTCTGAGCCCCACAAGGAGCGTTTGTTCTCTTTAGCGGTTTGTTCAAAAGCACTGTAAAAAGGGTGGCCGGCAACGAAGGAGGTGTCCCTTCAAAACCAAGGCAAACAAACATGTTCCTGCATGTACTTAAGACCATTTTTTATGGTCCCCTCTTGGTTTTAAAGGGAATCGATTTCACGACTGGAAATATGTTGTTTCTTTTTTTCCAGGAAGGCAAAGCAAATGGAATGGTTCCTTCATACAATGTGCCTGTGAAACAACCCCAAAGCAGCCAACACGCCTTGTCTGCCTTCTGCAGGCCCTTCTGCGCCGCAGCTGCCGCTCCTGCGGATGAGATGGGCCTGGTTGCCTTTGCTAGCGGATTGATACGGAACAGCCGCTCGGATGGAGCATCATGTCGAGGATTTCTGGTTGATGCTTGTTCAAAGGCGGGTGTTCCATGACTTTGGGTTCCCATGGGATGTTTGGTTGATGTGTGTTCATTCTGTTCGATTATTTTCAAAGGCGGCCGGTGTTCCATGACGCTCGGTTCCCATCGCCCTCCGGGGTTTGAGTGTTTTTTCTTTGGCATCTTCAAGATTTTTATTTTTTTTAGATGAGTGAGAGTGCAAACCGTTGACCTACCCGAGAAACAAAGTGCTTTACAGGACACTCCCCAAAAGGAGCGCCTGACTCCCACTTGAATTCAAGTTTTTTGAGGAAGGGTTCCGATTCCTTTCAACTCAAACCTACAGCCAAAACAACTGATGCCTCCTTTTTTCCCATGGAAATCCACAGGGCATTTGAGAGGAGGCCTCTTACTTTGAGAGACCTGACGTTTTTCTGCGGCTTGATTCCTTTTCCACTCTGAAGCAGCCATCCTGGGTTTCAAAAAAGGGATCCGTTCTCCATTGGTGATGGTATTCTGGACACCACTGGAAAGAAGGGAGCCCTGTGAATGATAATCTTGCAGGTGCGATAGGGAATGACCGATTGCCGGTGATTATTTTCAACAGTCGGCCGGTGTTCACCTAGGTCTCCCATGCAGTAGTGCCCTTTTACCCTTTTTTGGGGGAGGGTTCCCCTACTAAAATAGACTACAGTAAAAAGGGTACCCTTATTCTAACCTCTACTGGAGGACCTAGTCACACTGGACCTTGGGCTACCTCTGCTAAGCGCACGTCTCTTTGGCGAGCCATGGGAAGACCCTTGCTATGCCTTGGCTCCTTGCAAAAGAGCTGCGCCCGCACTTCGCGGCTGCTCCGGCAGCTGGCCAAGAGTCCCCAAAACTCGCAATCCAGCATGAGCTTCCTGAAGTTCATGGCTCGCGCGGGCAAGAGCCTTGGCGCGCGCTGAAGAGAGGCTGCTGGTCAGTTGCGTCGCGGAACAAAGCCAGACTTGGATCAGCGCAAGGCTTGATGTTGGAGGCGGCAACACCTGCCACGACCTTTGTGTGATTGCAAGAGTGTCGCGCAGATTGCGAGGGTTGGTGTGCCTCGGAGGCAAGCTGCTCTGGTCGGTTGCGCTGAGCAAAGACTGGTCGCACGCCTTGCGCCAACGTGGCGAATCCTGTGGATAGTATGGGGCCTGCGCAGGAAGCTTGGATCCTGGTTTATAGTTGTGCTTTAGAAGTGACCTCTTCTGAAAGTAGAATCGAGGATCTGGGTGTGCGGGAAAACGATATGTATCAATAGTAAGAAGTAAATCACAATTCGATCCAACTCCTCGCGGTTTCCCCCAAAAAAAGAAAACCAAAAGGACACGAACCTCAAACAAGCGCCTAAAGATTGAGTGAGCCCAGGTATGTTACAATCGCCCAAACCACAGCTGATTGAGAAGAAGGTAGATGTTTGCTGCATCTGGGCAAATTGTGAATCGTGATGAAGGTCCAGTTTGTGACCTTTGTAAGCTACCCAACGTATCCTTCAAGGAGCCTTGGGACCGTCCCACCGAACCCACCAGATGGTCCAGATTGTTTGGTTCGGAAAGCCTTCGCCTCCGAGCTTGCCTCGCGAGAGCAGCGCCCAAAACCCCTTGGCAAATTCCGTAGGTTCTAACTGGTTCCATTGTTATTTTTTGGATTTTGTTTATCTTTGTTCGGGGCAACACAATGACACTCATATTCTACCCAGTCAGGGTCACGCAGGTTTTGGTCTTTGTTTCCAATTACCAAGGGGCTATTTTGGGAATTCGTTGAGCAGCCATATGTCTCACCGAGCCCAGGTAATCTCTTCCACCTATTAATAAATACGCCCCCCCTATTATAAATACATCCCCCCAAAAATGTGTGTGTGTGTTTTTTGGGGGGGGTTTTGGGGTTGTTGTTTTTTTTGCTTTTCCAACAATGTGAGGGTTCACATAGGATTTGGAGGAAATGGATTGAATTGTAAGCTCCGCGAGTAAGCGGTTTAATAAGGAAATTTGATGTATCATTCTATTTGATGTATCCTTTGTGGAGGCACTGGTTTCCTTAATACCCCCCAAGCATTGAAACTTGTTTGCATTGAAGTCAGGGAGTCAGGGACAGCCAGGGACAACCTTTTGGGGAGAGAGTCAAGAACAACCTTTTAGGGGAACCTTTTGGGGAAGCCAGCTTTTGGGGAAGCAACCTTTTGGGGAATTGAGGAACCCGCCTTTTGAAAAGTGAGGCTGGAAGCTTGCTAAAAGTGCCCCCTAATAAGGATTCCAAGACTTTAGTATTGGTTTAGTATTGGCGCAATGGAAAATCAATTGTGCGGAGTGGAAATCTGGTCTCGGGCCCCGGATTTGCATTTATTATTAATTGGGGGTCATTCATTAATAGGGGGAAGAGATTACAATAGTTTTGGGGCCCTGTTCGCCGCGGTGTCACGGTAGGCTTCGGGCGCTCAGGAGACGTGCGCACGCCCAACTTCTCCGAGTGGATGGAGGTGTCGGACAAGGCGACGGTACTGGTAAACCGAGGCGCACACACGTCGGACGTATTCGGACGTGGAGTCGGCGGGCGCGTGCTCCGATCCTTGGCGCCTGGTTGGCAGGGGCCCTCCTTTAGCACTTCCAATGCTCTTGGTTTGCTTGTTTTGCTCCTCTAGTTTTGGTCGTTACGCTAAGTTGCTTGCTTGTCTTGCTCCCCGTTTTGCAGACTCTTTGGGCTGCGCCGTTTTGGTTCAGCGACCCCCGTCCGCCGCTTCTTCTTCGCGAGGCGTCAGAGGTAGCGCCTTGGTCTGGGTGCTGGACGCGCTGGGCGAGGCCGATCTTCACCCGACGGAGCCAAGGGGGAGTTGCGAGCCGCGGGTTTGTCAGATGTGGGTCAAAACCAATGGTACCATTTTGGGGTAGCTGAATTCACCACCCATCTTAGAGCCTATTTTAGTGGGGTTGGAAGGGGATGTTCACTGGGGGTACGGGGTTTTGACTCATGGCCAGATGGCTGTGGGTAAAAATCATGTCGGGCATATTGCTCCGGGCGCATCCACGGTGAATAGGAAGACATGTGCACGGAATCGGTGGTGGAAAACAGCGCATTCTCCCAAAGACGATTTTGCAGGAAGTGGCTCCAAAACCAAATGGCTGTGGGTCAAAAATAGGTACTCCAAATGGGTTGGCCTGGTAAGTGGAAACATGGACCAAAACCTGCGGTCCAATTCGTGGAGGTTTAATTTTGACCCATACCCAAATGCCACCTTGGCAAATGGAATCGAAGACTAAAACCTGCGTAACCCCAGTTAATTGAATTTTTGAGCCACACCCAGATTGGTCCTGTTTATAATTCAGGTGTTCGAAACTGCTTTCTGGGGTAGGCTTAGGATACATTTTACATTCTACCAGTGACTCAAATTGGAGCAAACAATAAAATATACTCTCATTCTCTAACTGGGCCTCACTCTATTCATGCTTTCTGGTGGGAGAAGGGGGAAACCAAAATCAGGCAACCCTGGGACGGTGGTTTGGATTGGTGGCATGGATTTGGGTTGCCCTGGTCCTTGAGAGTAAGTGGGGTTTACCCCTCCTTAACCACCAAACCAGCAATCGAAACCACCGACTAGGAGGAAGCTGGGCTTTGTGGACTATTCGTCGGGCATGTTCCGAACCTCAAGACAATGATCGTTCATCGGCTTACCCGGTTTCTATGGTTTTCTTCGGTTTGCTGCAGAATTCCATTTGATCCAAACGAGAGCAAAACAAATGTGGATACAGGCAACACCCTCAGATCCTGCAGGCGTTCCACTCGCATGTTGTTCTTTTCTTCTGACAGGCATCCACTGACCATCTAAATTCCACGAAGAAGGCTGGCCAAAAAAACAAAAAAACGGTGCCGAGGCCTTTTTTGGAAAGCAACAATTAAGCGGCGGTCTAAAACCCCTGCAGTATCGGGAGGAAATATCGTTTTCAAATTGTTGATTCGTCCTGGTCGCGGAAGCGCCGCGGAAGGTTCGCTGAAGGTGTTTAGCATTTATCGCTGAAGAGCCGCAAAGATAAGAAAATGTTGTTTTCCTGCACGCGCGGAAGCGAAAACAAACTTCAATCCCATTTCTGCATCCGCGGAAGCGACGTGAAAACGAATCCCTCTTCAAAACCTCTCGCGGAAGGAGCCTTTCATGCCGCGGAAGCCTTCGCAGAAGGGATTTGATATTTATTTTCGGCCGCAACGCTGCTCAATTGGGCAAGCCGCCCGTGCACTTTGGTGGGCGCCTAACTCAATTCTTACTAATTAGTGGACTTGAGCCATTTTGTGGGAATGTATTCGAGTGCTGAACAAACAGTCAACTCTTTTCTGGCCAATCCGCTCGATCAGAACTGAGCGCCAGAACATTTTTGTCCCAAAGATCCCTTGCGGTGGGAATTCAGGTTGCGGCCATTCCACGGATGCTTATCTTCTATCTTGCTTGATATGTTTCCTTCTTGGTTTTAAAGGGAATCTATCACTGCTGGACATGTAAAAAAAAAAAATGAAAAAAAAACCTAGGGGCTCAAGCAAATGGAAGTTATTTGTTGAACTGGAGCAGAGCTTTGGAAGGCCCTGCTGATGGACGAGCTCCTGCGCCAGTGGGTAAACGAACGTCATGCCAACTGGTGCCGGATTTTGGCGCATTGTATCAAGAGACTAGGCATTTGTGACATTGCGACGGGCAGACCGAGCTTGGCTTTTTGCCCCTGTTGCCCCTTTGGGGCTCCCTCATGTTGTTTTTTTTCACCAACTAGGCCACCCAGTAGTGCCCTTTTACCTTTTCTTGGGGAGGGTTCCCCTACTAAATTAGACTACAGAAAAGCAGGGTACCCTTATTCTAACCTCCTGGAGGACCTAGCCAAGAAAAACCCAACTTCAGGGGTATAACGGGGGCGCTTAAGGGTACATTGGGCACCAAGGAACCCTGGTTGGAATCCTGAGCATAAGACATCCTCATGAGAACGTGTGTTGCAGGTCTTGCCTGGTTTCACGGGGACTTCTAGAAACTGAACAAGCCACAAGTTAGTGTTCGAGCAATCTCCAGCATGTGTATTTCCAGTGTGCTTGTTTCATTTCGGTCAAACCCGAACGGCGCAAGGAGCGGACGAAGCTACAGATCCTCCATGCCTTTCGCGGGCCGTTCGCCCAGCAATTGGATTCACTTCGTTGCCCCCGTCACCCCCCCACCCCGCCCCACTGACCGGAGCCTTGGACCACAAAGAAATATATTTGTTGGAGCCTTAGAGCTGATTTACCCCTTGACCCTTCATCTTTGTCTTATTCTTAAGGGGTATGTTCCGGGGGTCTGTACAACCTTTGAGATTCCTCTACAAATGGGAGTTTGTTCCATGTTTATCTGCGGAGTAAGTATGCATGGATCCAACATTGGAAAGGGTTCTGGAAGCAGTCCATTGCATACCAAGGCTTCAGAGGAAGAACTGCAGCTGTCAGGGAGGTTCAAAGTATGCACAATTTCACGTGAGCTTCCTTCCGGAGTGATATATGGGGAAGTTTCTCGGGAGCCCTGAAACATCCGAGCCAAACAAAATTAACAATGTTGTGCACTTTACAACCAGTCATGAGCTTTTATTTGCCAAATGAATGTTTTTTTGTTTTCCCTTTTTGGTTTTACAGGGAATCGAACTCACTACTGGACATGTGTTCATTTTTCCCAGGGCTTAAGCAAATGGAAGTGAGTGGAGTGACATACTCGTAACAATTCATTGCCGGGGGCCCAGCTGTCCGGTTCCCTTACGGTTTTAATTGTTTTTTAATGCGTGCGGGTTCCGGTTTAACCCAAAGGTTAAACTTTTAGTAGCGGATCCGAAGACAGCTCAGGAATCGTTTAGCGCCTCAAACTTATCCCTAAACCACTACCCGCAGGGGAAATCAGGGTCTATACCCTTTAGAGGTTACGCGGTTGTTGTATGCCCCACGTTTCCCTTGGAGTTTGTGGTTCCGGGGTAGCGGAATCCGGTCTCACAAGTGGGTACCTTAACATGTCCCTCATGACCTGTGAGGGTTGCCAAGCTATCCGGGCTACTTCTAAGTGTCCCATGTGTGGAAGTTAGACTCACTTTCCAACGGTTGGTTTCCCCTCAGGCATTGGGTATAAAACGCATGTGCGGCCAGGCATTGAAGTTGCTCCAAGTCTTTAGAAATCGAGGTGCAGGACAAGCCCCTTGGAGGCTAAAAGGGGTTCACCCCAGGAGCGACCAATCCAAACCACCAATCGAAGCCACCAATTTGAAGGAAGCTGCCGGTTTGCCCGGAAGACCTAAATCTATGCCTTTGTCAGCGCGTGGAGTAAAGAGATATGGCCCTATACCCCTTGGAGACGTATAGCTTACTTGTCTCATGGCACCCTGATGGCCCATGAGCTTTGCTCGAATTCGCCTCTGGTTGAAATAAGGAATTCGACAAGCGGCGAATGTTGACCGATCCGGATTCCCACTAAAAGGAGTTGGACACAAAGCTGGGTTCCCATTACCTGCTGGTGCAATAGGTAGGGAATGACCGAACACGGGTGTTGGGTCTGAACCCAGTTTGTTTAAAAAGAAGCCAAATAGGAGTTTTGGCCGAATTTAGTTTTGGAGAGTCATTCCATGTCTCATTCTTGGCATCTCTCGAAGCAGCGGTTTTAATGTTGACCCAGGATCAATCAACCCCTGTTTCTTAATATGGGTGTGCCCATTTCTGGTTTTCGGGGGATTTGTCTTACCACTTTTAGAGGGGAACGCTCGCTCATGAGTCGACCCCGGCTCATGACTTTCCGGAGCCTGCGGGCCCTTGAAACCGACCCAATGTTTGAGGGCCATCGAATTGGAGCCTTAGGGACAGGGGGACCTAGGGGCCCTTGAAAACAACCCATTGGTTTTTGGGCCCCAGCATCGAATTGGACATTTGAGGGTCAGAATTTTAATTCATGGGTCCAAGGTCCCTCTCGGAGCCTGAGCTTCTGCAGCTCAGCAACGATGAGCTCTGCATCTTGTGCCGGGCCATGGACCGACTCCAGCTCATGGACCCCAGGCACAAGAATCGGTGGGGGGAGGGAGGGGAGGGGGGAGGAAGCCCAAATAAGCCCTGAATAAGGCCCTTAAATAAGGCCCTTACTAAGCCCTGAACATTTTTTTTGGTTTCAGAGCAGGCAAGAAACAATTTTCCCACCAAGTAAGCTTTCACTCAATCAACCGGAAGCGCTTTAAGGGCGAGTAATTTGTCATTTGTCCCGTCAAAAGGGGGTAGATGATTTACCCTCCCACCTGTTCTAACAGAAGCAACTGTTCGACGTTTCGGGGATTGGGTCCTGGTTTGGTTTCAATTTTCCTTTAAAAGGGACCGGGTCCCGAACGTCAGGGTCCATGTTTGGTGGGTGGGTACACACCATCCCCTTTAAGGGGGGAGGCCCCATATGGTTGAAGAGTTCTTCCCCTAGGTCTTAGGTCTGAGCCACTCCTTGGTTTGGGTCAAGTTACCCTCTCCAGCCATGGAACCGTTCGACGTTTCGGGGTCCTGGCAGTTCCAACGTGGCGATTTCTCTGGTACCTAAGTTCCAGTCGACATCGCCATGGACACTTCTTGGGACTTCTCCTCTGGCTTGTTGGCTTTTTGTTTCACGTCCAGTCCGGGATCACGTAGTTTCAGTCTAGTCACGCATACACACACAACAACCCTCAAACATCCCACAAAGCGCACCCAAACAAAAGCATGCACACAACAAAGCACGCACGCACGCACGCACGCACGCACGCACGCACGCACGCACGCACGCACGCACGCACGCACGCACGCACGCACGCACGCACGCACGCACGCACGCACGCACGCACGCACGCACGCACGCACGCACGCACGCACGCACGCACGCACGCACGCACGCACGCACGCACGCACGCACGCACGCACGCACGCACGCACGCACGCACGCACGCACGCACGCACGCACGCACGCACGCACGCACGCACGCACGCACGCACGCACGCACGCACGCACGCACGCACGCACGCCACACACACACACACACACACACACACACACACACACACACACACACACACACACACACACACACACACACACACACACACACACACACAAGCACGCACGCACGCACGCACGCACGCACGCACGCACGCACGCACGCACGCACGCACGCACGCACGCACGCACGCACGCACGCACGCACGCACGCACGCACGCACGCACGCACGCACGCACGCACGCACGCACGCACGCACGCACCCACGCACGCACGCACCCACGCACGCACGCACGCACGCACGCACGCACGCACGCACGCACGCACGCACGCACGCACGCACGCACGCACGCACGCACGCACGCACGCACCCACCCACGCACGCACGCACGCACGCACGCACGCACGCACGCACGCACGCACGCACGCACGCACGCACGCACGCACGCACGCACGCACGCACGCACGCACGCACGCACGCACGCACGCACGAACACACACACACACACACACACACACACAC